TTGCTAAAAATTCAATTATTGTTAGTTCGTATAGATAATCTAATAAAATTGTTTAACCTGTTCTTGTGTTCAATAATCTATTATAAATAGACTATATTTTCTATACTGATTCTACATATTTTCAATTAATTCTAGCAAACATGTCTCAATATTTCTCTTAACACGAATTTGATAGCAGTAGTGATGATGATGAAAATAATAATCATCATCATTACTATTATAATAATAATAATAATAATAATAATAACGTTCTGTAAGTATATACGTAAAGAAGAAAATACTTAATAATAATTAAATAATTAATTATCTATTAATTATAATATTATATTTGTAGATTGTTGCAACAACAAGTAGAAGACCAGGTTGCAACAATTGCAGAGCTTAACTATATGGCTCTCGATTATTTGCAGCAATTTATTCATCAGGAGCAGGAGCAAGAAGCTCTTATTGAAGAACGAGATAGATATCAGACTTGGTTCGAGGAGCGTGATGCCGCTTACCGAGATCTTCTCGCCGGTTTGAGGAAGAAAGAAAAAGAAAAAAGGAGAGGATAATGAAAGAAGAAGGATGAAGGAGGAAAATGAGAGAGAAAGAAGAGGTTGGAGTGTTTTTGTATATAGAATAGTTTCTCTTTTCATTGTCTTTTTCTATTTTCTTAGAATTTTTTTTTTGTAAATAAAAAATAAAACTTTTTTCTTCTCTCTTCGTATTATTTTGAGTTGAGTTTTTCATCTTCTTTTAGAATTTTCTCCAAAAATTCTTATTTTCTTTTCAATTCTTCTTTTTCTTTTTTTTTTGTTAGAGTCTTCTGGCTCTAATTATTACTTAGGTAATGTCTTTTCTTTGTCTTGGATCGGGGTATCCTAGGCTTCTGGGTCAGTTTTGGTCATTTCGGCATTTGTGACATAAGTCAGGTGATCAATGCCTATAAATAAGTTAACCGATCATCTATTGATTTTGGTTTTTTTACTCTTTCTACTTTTCATTTTTCAGCTTATATATTTAGGTCTTTCATATTTTTCTTCTTTTTGGGTTATATATTTAGGCTTGTTCTACTTCCGGCTTTGGATCTCTACAAGTTGTTGAAATGAATCTGGCTTGGATCACTTGCTTTTGAACGTAGATCTTGGGTAGGTATTTTGAGTCTTGGGTTTTAGTCTATATATTTCCGGTTCTTAATTCTTTACAGTCTTTTGCTTTTCTAAGTCAGTTCGTTATACCAATCTCTTCTTTAGCTTGACTAGACGAGATTTAAGATTTCTTTTTAAATCGGGTCCTAGATCTTCCTATATTTTTTTTTTTTTAGAATAGATCTGTGGTGGCTTTGATGTTCATACGACATTTGGAGAAGTATATTTAGTCTTTGTCTTCATTTTTTTCTATTTATTTAGTCTTTATCTTTTATTCTTCCATTTATTTCGCATTCTCTTTTTCAGAGCATTGCTTTAGAACCGTTTTCGTTAGATTTTATCGTTTGGAGCTTTTGGGAGTCGTCGTTTGCTCTTAGGGTTACTTTAAAATGTTGCTAATTCTAGCTTCTTATAACCATCATCGTTTGGAGTCTTCGTTTGTCTCCAAGAATTATCGTCGTAAGTAGGTGTCGTTTTTAAATGTCGTTCGTGTAGTTTTAGTATTTTTGCAACTCTTTTTTTTTTAACTTGGTTTCTTGCCGGTAATACTAATATATATATTTTTTGAATGGACTATATTAGTAGGTTGTGTCTTACATTGGTGTTATTGTTGTCTTGATATCTTTCATCGTTCATTCCAAAAATCATGGTCTTGTTCTTGGGTTATTGTTTTGGTTGTAAGTGTTGCTTTTAACCATTGTTCTTGATCTTGTTGCAGTTTCAGTATTCATACTGATTCTTTCCGAAGTAGTTTTCTTGCTGGTGATATATTAATACTTTTTTTTTTTTTGCTCTTTACTAGTTTGGAATGTTTTTTTTCTCTTTGGAGCTTTAGATTTATCAAAACTCGAAAGAACCAAAATAGTTCTTTTTTTTTTTTAAGTTTTATATGATTCAGGTGCTGATTTCATTCTTGGGGACGATAATATTTGAGGAGAAGTAGATAATATATCTTTAACTTGTTTAATAGCACTATCATAATCTAATTTATCTGATTTATTTTTTTTTAAAATAAATTTTGGTTCAGATTTCTTTTCTTCTATTGTCTTATTCGTTGTCTTTTGATTGAGGTCCTAGTTATCCAAGTGATTTTCAGTATTTTAAATAAGTAGATCTAAGGTTTACTTAAGAATCGCTTTGGCCGAATAAATAGAATCGATGATAATATTTAAAGAGGTCTGAATTCAGATTATTCAAAGACCTGTCTATATGGAATAAATAGTAGGACGTGGGTCTTGCAGAAGCAATGTATCCTTTTTCATTTTGTTTTTTTTTGTTTTGTTGGCTTCACTTTTTTTTTCCAGGCCTTAGTATTCAAAGCAAGAATTTCAGGATTGTCAAGGTTTCTTGGGACTTGGCAGCAAATGGTATTCTGAATATTATTGATATGTGCTAAAATTGGAACTTCAGAGTTCGTCCAACAAATAGCTTTTTTTTTTGAACTTAGTTTTTCATTCTGAAGCGTTAACCAGATTCTTTTTCTCTTAGGATTCTTCGATGGCTGCTTTCTTTTAGATAATCAATATAGGGCTTCCGATTATTTCATAGAACACAAGTTAGGTAACGATTCGTGATCTTCTTTCCTGGGAGGAATGATCCAATGAGGTATCGTTTGTGAAGACCGAAAAAGTTTAAGAAATCGTCTAGGGTTCTCTAGTTAGAACCTCTAAACTTTGATCATTGTTCCTAGGCATGGAACAAATGTTCGGGTAGGTAGGTGTTTATCGAATGACTTGCAATTAGATTTTGCTATGAATATATTAGGGGTTTCGAATTTAAGAAAAAGAAATTAGTTCGGTTAAAATTAGGAATAAATGGAATGGGTCTAATTTAGAATTTGGATTTAGTTAAGAAGGGATAGAGAATTTAGATTCGAATTTTAAATAAAGGAGATTAAATAAATTGACAGGTTAGATTAAAGATAGTTTAATATTAGGAAATGGAATTGGGTTTATTGGTTGGGATGGATAAAACAAATCTAGGTTTTGCGTTAGAAATAGGTTAAATAGGTTGGGTTAAGAATGAAAGAAATGAAGCGGGATTTGAGTTTAAAATGAATTATTGGTTGGGATGGATAAAACAAATCTAGGTTTTGCGTTAGAAATAGGTTAAATAGGTTGGGTTAAGAATGAAAGAAATGAAGCGGGATTTGAGTTTAAAATGAATTAAGATTAGGAATAAGAAAAATGGTTCCAGTTCGGAACCAGTTTCTAAGGTAGGGTTAGAAAATAAATAAGTGAAGGATTGGTTCAGATTTAGGTAGAGATTTTAACGGGATGTATTAAGGTTAAAATAGAAGGAGTAGATTTAATTTGAGATTGGGTTTAATAGGTTAAATGGATCAGGTTAGGGTTAGATAAAATGAATGGAATTGGGGATAGATTTTAATATTTAGGGTTAGATAATCAGATAGTTTGTAATGGGAGTTAGAATTGGGTTTAGGATATGATGTACACACGTTGAATTAAATTAAATGTAAATAAATAATTAATTAAAATAAATAAATAAAAGGGTTATATCGATATATTTGCTAAGAACTAAAAATTGGGCTAAGTTCTTTGCTTCGCTTTAGTCACGTAATATGGCACTTCATTTTAAAAATTTGGGGCAAGTGCCAGATTTGAGCGCTTTTATAATCTGAAATGTTTTTGCTTTTTTTTTTTTTGTATTATTTTTTTTTTAATTAAAAAAACTATAGATATTTCCTACTAGAGAGTACGTAGTAGAACTTTCCTAGCTGAAGAGTACATGATAGAATCTTTCTAGCTTCGATAGTATTGTATAGACTTCTGAGACATAAAATTTTTTTGAGTTTATATTTACAGGGTTGGGATTACTTACGCCTACACTTTAGCTTGTGGGTAATCCGCGCTTAACACTCTTGGTTAAGGTTTGTAGTAAGCTGCGAGCTATGGGTTCTTACACCTACACGTTTGGCTCATGGGGTACCCGTCCAAGAGATCTAACCTCGAGGTTGCAGTAAGCTGTGAGCTCTGGGTGCTACGAAAGCAGAGGCTTCAAGTGGCCCTTCTGTACAAGTCTCTTTCAACTTGACAGAACTTTCCAAGTGCTACAA